TACAAAACGTTTGAAGAACACTGTGGCGTCAAGAACAAAAATGCGAAGTGCTGCTTGTGAAAGGATTTAATGATGGGACCCTCTGTACGATGAACGACCAAATTCGCGACCAGAAGGCAATTGGATCAAATACTTCAATGTAGTCAAAAAATTGCTTTTACTGTCAAATTCAATTCTATGATCCCAACGGGAGGAAATCAATGCAACGTGTGGAACAACTCACGCTTCCATTTTTTTTCAACACTTGATCAATTAGATTAAGAAGTTGTTTTGGACGACAGGTGCCCTAGAAACACACAGGTTTATTATTAGCACCATAGATATGTTGCAAAGACTTCTCAGACTGATACTCGTTAGTCATATTATAGGACTATTCGCATTGGTATCTTTGTGATAGGCTAGACTTTCGCAGGCTGACCTTTCCTTTCGTCTGATAGACTCTGTTGCGTAAGCTGTTTTATACTTTTTGCGTGCTCATACCGTAAAAGCTTTTTAAAATTTTTTAAGACAGAATTTTCGACTTTTAGGGCCTGCGACATGGTTGGCAGCATGTGTCGAAGTACTGCTTTATCATCTCGCCGTTGTTGATTGAGCACCATTTATGAAATGGTGTAAATGAGTAAATGAGCCTTTGTATAAGCTTTCTAGTCAAAGATTGCCTTGTAACCTTTCCTCCGTGTTGAAAGCTGCGTTTTACAAAATGAGATCAACTTTTTCCAAATAGTGCAGCTTGCAGAGTTTTCTTCGCAAATCTTGCTGAGTGCCAGGTCTACATGCTACATAATTTGATCTCCGTGTTCAGCGTTATAGGACCCACCTACTTTCAAAGATCTCTGGTTGCCGAAAATCGAATGCTCCGGTATTTTTCTCAACACGAATCACAGCAGCATGTGATAAAATTCGACTTTTTCCATATGTTCACTGTTACCATTTGCAAATACTTGTGAGTGTTTAAAAAGGATTGCTTCCATCGTTAATGCCACTTGTCTCTGAGCGGTGCAAGACTGCGAAAGCAAGTCTTGTTCTTGAATCTACTAGGACTTTGAAAAATCTGCACGGTAACCTCTGGAGTTGAAAGCGTCCTCGATTGCTATAACCCGTCCTTCAAGCTAGTTGGCTTTTGTTTCAAAATGTAAAAAGTATATCTGGGTATATCTGTTAGGTTCGTTAGTCCGTTCATTCACCTCGTAGGCATTGTTGATCCGCAAAATAGGCCGTGCTGCCTTCTATAAACCACCTCAACAAGTTCATTCTTTTTTTCTTGCTTATTCCCTTGAATAACGAAACATTTGCGCAGTAAAGCTGAGTCAAGAACTAACCTGAAATAGAACTGTAGGTTAGATGAGCTTGGCATAGTCGATGTCAGTATGCATTTCTAACCATAATTCTTTCTAACGACCCTGAGTCAGCACGCTTAACCGAAGGTGCACTTGCAACAGTTTTTGAAGGAGTATATGCCAACAAGACTGGTAGGCACTCCTATCGTTAGTAATCTAAGTAATGCTGCCATTTTAAAACTTCGAACTATTGAGTTCTTGCATATTGATATGGTTGTACTTTTCAGCACATTCATTTTTCTAATTAAGAATAGAGGAAACAACCACAAAAAAACTGAGATCGTTCTTGTGCCTGTGGTTGCACTAGGCGAGTTTCGGCCGTCATGACTGTAGTACTCTCTCAATTAGACATTCAGGTAAAGGCCAAGATAGGGAACCGTCACCACAACATCGCCCCAGTAGATAGCATAGCATAACAAACTTTCTTCATCATAATATGCAAAACTAAGTGTAGTGTTTCTATCGCACTGCTGCAGTATACTGGAATGTGTTCATGGAAGTCGTTTATGTATTTATGTTATTATGTTATTTATGTTCGTTTATGTATCACTCATTTTCTGCGGCATGTAAGTCATCCGCCACTCATTAAGACATCTGCTAGGGGTACTGCTCTTGCACGATCACATAACTGTATTTCTTCTATAAATATTCTTGAGAACTCAAGGTGTACGAAATGGCAGATGCAAATACTTTGTCTCTTCACATTGATAGAATATACGTAATGTAAAAATAGAAAGAAAAGATAATATACAGAAGTAGCAAGATATCTGTACACTGCGTCAATTAGAATGTTCCAATCTTATATATAAAGTTGAATGTCTGTTTGTATGTATGTCTGTATGTACGTATGTTCCGAATAGAAAATTCCATTTCTGAACCGATCGGGACCAAACTTGGCACACATACACTTCGGGGCAGCGAGCGTGTCATGGCCTACTTTTCGTATCGATCGATATCGATTTTATCGATTTTTTGCAAAATTTGAGCTACAGGGCTGGGAGTTGGCACAGAGGGGTAATCGAGCATGCTGATTACAAACATATTATTGACGGGCCAGGGCGGAGCCGGGTTTGCCAACTAGTGATTTACATGGTCATATATATCACGTCATTTTGAGGGTTTGCCAGAGGAAGAATCGCATGATTTCGAAGTCCGTGAGCACGTAATACTGCCTATACACCCGATCATTGCATTTCCTTGACTAAATTTGCAGTTCAGCCTTCCCAAAGCCATCGCTTTCGCAAGTTTGAACAAGCGGTAAGAAGATGCAGTTTTCAGAGTTTCACTCCTCTTGCCTTCATTTAAATTACGCCACATCAGAACAAAGCCATATCGAAAGGCGAGCAAAACTATAACTGTAAAGCTATGTTATAGTCGTCCTCACTCCTAAACACAGGTGGGCCAACTAGAATTGGGACTGGACGACCAGGCTGTGTGCGGTGGACCGGCACTCTCAGTCCTTTTCAAACTCAAGCACGTTTTTTTGTTTTTCTTGTCGCTGTATGTTACTTCCTATGTATGACAATGTTTGATTAGGGTTGGCGGTTTTGTTATTGCTTACTAAGTTTTACCGCAACCGGCCCGCTCCAGTTCAAGATCATTTGGCCACCAGATGTCTAGTAGGATGAGAACGGCTATATTCATAGCCTTGCGTGCCGACATAGTGGAGAGGTAAGGCAAAATACGAATATAAGTGAGTAAGAACTCTGGTGTGCACTTTGACCATTGAGCGAGACATTAACATTTGAGTCATAGGTATCATATAAAAAGATTAGGCTTATGAGGGGGACAACGACCAAAAGTAGTCCAAATCGTAAGGTAAATCCAAGACATGCACAGAACATTATGATGCCTTCATATCGTGTTCATTATTTGAACCTCATACGTCATGCCTCCATGCAAATTTGGACAGTATCACTTGGTAACTGATTTTTGGGGCCTAACTAAGACACTGCCTAAGTGGCAGCGCAAATGATTCACTTACGGCTGAAAAATTTGCCATGAAACTGGAAAACAGTATCGTATCAAATTGCGAATTGCATCGTGCATGCATCCCGCGCAAGGACTCGCGCGAATCTAACGGGTCATGATGTGAAAAGCATGGTGAGCATGATGCAAGTCATCCATCAACAAGGCATTGAAGTTTGGTTTAGAAAATAATTTCTCAGCAGCGAATACACCATCCAAGCTGCCGGCTGGGCTACGCCTTAAAGAACCAAAATTTCTATGTCAGACCTCCCATATGTCCTATTTGGATTAGGCGCTGCCTTTGACATTAATGAATTACTGCTACCGCCACCAGTGTATTATGTGAGAGAGCTTTAAAGACAACAGCAAGAGGGAAGAATGAAGGACGCAAACAAATCAGAATGTCATTTTGATTCTTCCAACTTTTGAAGTCCTTCGCATTATTTAATGAGGCAGTTGATAGAGAGCCTATCTACAATATTACATGTAGATCCGTACAACGCAATTGGACACTTCATCTTGTTATCGCTTCAAACTGTTTTCTTACAAGCACTTGGAATACAGCTAATCAGCAATCTATTAGCAATTGAGTGCACACCTTATCGGAACATGCTCTCCACGTCTCCGCTTTTATTAAGACACCCATCAGCTTTCCGTTTGTGCACATGCTCGATTGTGTGGGCATGTTTCAACTACTGTTATTGTCATCGATACTAATCACGAGCATGACAGACGCATTGTTCTCCCCTGTAATATTTGGTCGACCACATGGCGGACTACTTAAGGTGACTTCGCTTTGCACTTTGATTTACTATCAGCATCTCCAACATGTCAATATATTTTCATGTGTAGTTGTGCTTTTCTACAAAATCGCGAAGGCACCTTGGAAATTTTCACTTTCGATGCTCTTGATGTTACAGATGTGGTTATTAAGCATGCGTTTTAGTCAAAATGAAGTTAATTTGTTTTGAAATTGCCACTCTGAAAAAAAATGTCGACACAAATTGGTTACATATGATGTCAATTACGCGCTCACTTTCGCTTGGGAACTACGCGTGCGCAATGCAAGGGCCTTGCCTGCGGACCTCCAATCCATAGAGACCATTTGAACGCCCAAGCCATACGCACGCGCGTAGCTCAAAGCTCATTGCGTTCACGGAAAAGGGAGCTCGTGATTGACACGGAATGTACCTAGAGAATAATGAAGTCTTTCCTGAGATTGCTAATTTTGAGTTTTGGTTCAACTTTGTAGCTCTATATTGTTTAAAAGTGTGGTTAACTTTAAGAAAAGCAATCACTATCATATTGTTCTTAGTGAATCATTTCGAAATTCTCACACCACCCCTTAACTCCCCCTTAACATCATCGACTTTTGAGTAAGCAAGTTTTCTCTTCTGAACGGTCGAGTTGAACAAAGTTGTGAGATAATTGTAGGTAAGAAAATTATAGGAAAAAGAGTGCACCAAAGTCGCTATTTTTTTAGATTTGGCAAGCAATAAGCATAGATAAGAGAACTTGATCTGATGTATTGTTGAACATATACACACATTCTTTGAAGCAAATTATAATTCCTCTGGCATTTTGCCATTTTTCTGTGAATGATATACCGAAAATTTGAAATAGGATATAGACGTGTATAACTATTTTCAAAGTGAATGTGACGTTAAGGCACCTGACTCCAATGGACCACAAACTGAAGATCAGTACTTAATTTACTCTACCATACAGCAAAAAATTGACCACTTTGACAGTGCTTCTTCGGCAATCTGGTCACAGGTTCGTAGAATTTTATCTTTCTATGCCTTTTATTGGACCCATGTAATTGATCTCATTTTAGCGCTATCAGTACAACTGGAAGTTTTACAATGCAAGCAGAGGGCTAGTCTTCCTAATGCTTGGAGGAGAAGGTCGGAAATGATAGCTAGATTTAAATTATAAAAAACATTTTAGGCTCTATTTCTCCTCCTGGCGATAAATGGGTGCGGGATGAAAGTGTCACCATGATGCAATGGGCCAAAGAATATGGGGCTGCCGCTTTTCAGCTTGAGCATAGATTTTATGGTCCCAAGGAAAATTCACCGACAGGGTAGCTGTTGAAATAGAAAAGAAACAGACTATCTATGAAATTAAGGCTACAGGACGTCGCATCTTTAAAACTCCTTACTATTGACCAAGCTTTAGCAGACATAAAGGAATTTATCGATCAAATGAATGTGAAGTATTACCCACACACGAAAACTCACTGGGTAACATTTGGAGGATCTTACCCAGGCAATCTATTCAACATTGGCATAAACTAGATCAAATTTCCTAAAAATTCTACAGGGTCACTATCGGCATTTTTCCGAGAGACTTATCCAGACTATACAATTGGAGCCATATCATCTTCATCTGCTGTTCACGTCTTCGTCGACTATTATGGTAACCTAAAAAGTTTCATCGGTGTAGCAAACAATACCACTTTGCAGACTATCTAGTCCATACAGAGGAAAACTATCGTGGTGAAAGTTTTTTGTGCGCTGATCACATCCGCACAGCTTTTACGAAGATGCAAAAATTAGCGTATAACGGTACCGATGGGAGAAAGAAGCTGCAAGTGATTTTCAAGTGAGTATAAGTCTATAAACAAACTTCTGAAAATTTTCTAATAATGTTGAAACATTTTTTGAAAGTGCTAGCTATCCAGGTCAGCTTGAATTTTTCGTTAATCCAAAAAAATTTCTCTGTTCATAGAAAATAACAAAAATGATTAGAAATTTCTATTTTTAAGTTGGCAATCTTAATCAAAAGATAACAGAAGTTAGATGCATTATGCACTGTACCCGAGTCTTGCAACTAATGGTGACCATCTAGCCGATGAGAAATTTGAAATTGTTTCATGTCCCAAGAACTTTTTTGGAAGATTTTGAGATCCGACTTGGAGAATTTAACACAGTTGGGGGGAGGGGGGGGGGGGGAAACGTATTCTGAAGAGACTTGCGCATTTTGGTGATGTTTAGAGCAAAAAAGTCGCTGTTTGGTAACCAGCTGAAAAATAAGCAGAACAAAAAAATTTACAACTAATAATCTACTGTAGTAAGTGCTAAGATTACAACCTTATCGCAATTTTATTTTTGGTTCATATTGTTGCAGGTAAATGAAATTTGTGCTGAACAAATGTTTGCATAGCTAGACTCCAAATTACTTCAACCCTTTGCTTTTTTCTTGAAACAAATATTGTTAAACGAGCTTAACAACGTTTTTGACAAAGGGCATGAGACCACCATTATCATGGGAAAGCATTGCTGCTCTCAAATGTTATCTAGTTTAGCAAAATTTCAGTTTTGTGATTAATTCTTCGCATACGTGAGATTTTGGTGAGATCATGAAACGCTGTTCTATACATCAAGTTTTATCTTATCGAGAAATATTCATATTTTTGAAAAAAAAACGGAAAAATGGCTGCAAATACCTAAAAGCCTTGAAAAAGTGAAGTTTGCTTTGTTGAAGATTATGTTTTAGCCTTTGCAATGCATTCAATGAGACGAATATTGCGAAGTCAGTGCAGTTTTTCTTCTCCAATGTAATCGGCTACTTTCAAGGAATCAATCAGTATTCAGGAGATAACAGAGTAAAATAATGAAACATATAATTGCTACGAGAAGTATTCCTTTTCACTTAATGTAATGTTTAGAACAATGCAACCCGCAATGGACTGGGTATACCTATGGCTTGTCGAATTATGAATAACCTCACGCTCGGTGATGAGATGGCGAGAGTGAAACAAGTTGTATGCAAGTTCTCAGAGCAATTTTCTCTATAATTCATACTTATTTTCATTTACTCTTAGATGGACTGGTATACGATTATGAATGGTGGCCAGTTGGGCTGTTATCCCAACAGCTATGAAGATTTCGTGAAATACTATGGTGATACTAGCTACAATAACAGCCTTCTTGATGATGTTGGTAAGCAGTATAATACTAAAAACATATCATAACAATGTTTTGTGCATTTGATAGATAAAATGCTAGACACATACAAAAAGAGTCTTAGAATTTTTCGAGTTTTTGAACACTCTCCGGTTTTGGTGCTAAGAACTATACCGGTAGTGCAGCTTTTCTGGTCCCCCTCGTCAGTAGTTCCCGAGAAAGCCTCAAAATTATAGCAAAAGATTTATGCAAGATTGGAATCCTAAGTCAAATTTTCAAACACAAAAGATGCAGGAAAGACAAGGAAAAATAAAGGCCTTTGACGAAAACAAATGTAACATCCAAAAGGTAAGACGAGTGACGAAAAATTGATTGCAACCTCACTTTCGAATGAGTGTTCTTCCGCCATGACCTCAGAGCGCATTAGCCGCATTCCATGTTTCGCAGTTCATGTAGAAGAGGGAAATGAAGGGGTGTAGCAAATCCATATTTACGCATTATGGATGGTCTATCGAGGAATATGCGATAATGTCTATTCATAAAAATATCAAACTTCCATCCGTTTTTTTAGACGTACTATTAAGTTCAATTATTCTTGCTTTGAACTGTCCGTAATCAAAGCAATTCCTAAACACTCTAAGTAATTTTGAAGTACAAGTATTGTACATAATATATCTTGGTATCCACTGTGGATACTATTAACTTTGGAATTGTATGCGTTCGTTTTTTGTACATGCTAAATTTTATCGTGTTCTCACAGATTAGTACATTCAAGTAAAAGATATCTGCTTCCGTTGAACCAACGTTGTTCTTTTCTATATCTAAAGTTGGAGCAGGGCCCGGCAGGAGGTGGCATTTCAGAATTTTGAAAACGATATCCCCTTTGAAGCCAAAATTTCTTACGACTTCCCCTTTGACCCTAATTTTGACCCCCGTAAGTCGCTGACAAACAGATATACGCAAATAATAAGATGGGCTGCCTCAGCGCTTATTATGGTAGCACTACCTGGCTTTCCTGGTCCAGCCCAGGTCATCGTTTGAGGGGGTGGCCAAAAACCACACTTTGTCCTTCTACCTTCCCGTCCTTTTGGGCCATATTCTCCACCCCTTTTCTGCAGTACCAATACTGCACTGCAGCCCTCCCCCTTAGGCCCCGGACAGATTTCACGCGATTTGATCGTCGCGACTGAATCGCGGCGAGACAACTGTTACAACATCATTCCATGCCGATCAACTTGCATTTCGGTTGTGATACTTTTCCAGTCTGAAATTTTTGAATGTGAAATGAAAATGAATGGAAATGTCGGCGATTGAGTCGAGACGATCAAATCGCGTGAAGTCTGTCCGGGGTCTTACCCTCCTGCACGAGTTTACCCCAGAAAGGCTTATTGGAGTGACTGCACCTTCTAATTTTGAAGTGGAAATGAACTTCACTGCATTGTTCACACCAAAATGTGCAAGCAGTTTGTTAGCGGCTGGTAAGTGTTCACTTTCCTTGCAAGGTGCCAAAAATCATTAAATCGATAGAAGAATTTCGCGAATTGCTTTGAAGGGTAGCTTAAAACCATCTACCGAGGCCTTTACTCCAGAATTTTTTCGTATACTGGAAGCGCATCTTCGATAGTCTAGAGATAAAGCGTCAAATGCTAAGGTTCTTTGAGTGTTTGCTCCCCATAAAAAGTGAAAGTTGTCTGTAGGAAATCGGAGAAGACAAAAAGATACAAAACAATTAGCGAAAGCAGAAGAAGTTTTTGAAACCTAGCAACACGCCGCTATCAGTTTAAAAGTTTTCGTTTGGCGGCACTTCGAATTGCAGTTTTCGCTGACTAGGCAATCCACAGCAGGGGAAAACGAGGAAAAGTCAGTTATCTCTTTGTGATTGTTTTAAAAACGAACATCTTTTGATGATGGTGATTAACAAGAAGAAAATGAACGAAAAACATCCAATTATGGAAACAAAGTTTGTTTTCTCCTAATCGAAGACAGCTTAGTTTTTAAAGGATAAAGGATAAAAGATTTGGCGTCTTCAATACCCTCTGAGGGTATGCGCCGAACGCACACACTAACTTCATAATCGAAGAGGCAACTGTATGCGTGCGAGCCTATTACAGCGACTTGCGGGGCCAGCCGTTTCCAAGTCAGTGCTTTTATCCTCCCAGATTACTCTGGTACCAATCTACCGGCCCCGGAGGGTAGAGGGCTTGGTTGGCCCAGGGGCGGGGATCGAACCTGTGTCCGATCTGGTCATAGCGGCGCCTCATACCACCATCCACTCGTCCCCAACTTATTTGACGCGTCCTTCGAATTTTAACCTTTTTCTCATAGTTTCCGTTACTGGCGACGTTGTTCGCTTTGTTGTGCTCATAATTTTGAGCAAAATGCCCCCAAGCATATGAAAAGTGATTGCTTACTAACTCCAATAAAGGCCTATGAACAAAATCGCACTTTTTGCAGCTTTTTGCCAGATATTCCATTACAGTCAGAGGGGTTAGGCCCGCGACGTTGTCTGCGCTATGCACAGAAGCAAGATCTATGGAATGCCCAAAAACCCGCTTGAAAAGGGCTAAATTAAATGAAAAGCAAGGTATTTTTGAAATCACGGTTTTTGTAGACTTCTTGCTCAAATCAGAAAATGGAGTTCTGCGAGGCTGTCAGCCTGAAAGCGGAGATAAAGCTTCAATATGAACAAACAGTTTGCTAGGACATTTTTTTGCACACCCTGTATATCGTTGTGATCCTCATGACACGAACAGGAGGACTGACAACGTCGCAGATGTTGAAAATCACTCCATAACGAGATAAACCAGCATTTATATGGCGATTTCTTGCGCAATTTTCCGATTTTATTGAACTTCAACAGCTTTAGTGAACTTCTTACACTCAAAGTTAATAAAAAGGTTATTTGAGAATTGTCGTTCCAAATTCTAGAAGAATTTGAGAATAAAAACTTTTTTAGCAGAGAAGGCTACAAAAACGCAATCTTTTTGTTTTCCAAGCTTTCGTTCAAAAATCATCCACACTTGCCTCATTCACATTCACTCCTATATAGTTGTGTCATAATAGCCCCGGATGACTTCTTTTCTTTTCTTTAAGTAAAGGTTGTGTTCTATCATGACGCTCAAAGTGAAGATTACCGGAGTACATGCTTTATGTAAGCCCGCCTAGAAATAAGATTACTGATCGAAAGCAGCAATAAATAAATGGACTGAATTGCTTTTCAAAGATGTTTCCAGTTC